TGTCGACACAGTCGCAAACTTCGAGCAAACCGCACTCAATATTGGAAACAGATAGAGCTATGATGAGTAATTATACTGAAATAAAGGATTTGTATATAAATTTATAACTGTTGCAGTATAGTTTTACACCATATACCTTAAACATGCCTATTAATGTCTCTTATGGTCACAAGGGTAGCCTTAATAGAGGGGCAGCGCCTTGGGGGGGGGGGGGGGGTGGTGAGTGTAGGCGCGAGTTGTACTAGAATAGAGTATGTGCGCGAGTGACGCTCTTTCAACGCAGAGTAGAGCAGCGGGAACATCGATTGGTCGAAGAGAGGGGTATCTGGATGTTGTTTCATCCATCCCCTTTCTGCGTTCTTCTGTGGGAAGAGTTCTAGCATTTAGCGCTTTCGATTTTCTACCTCGCATCTCTCTCCCTCTACCTTCCTTGCCTCCCACACCCCACACACGTACTCGAGTAATGTTTGTTCAGTGTGTTGTCGCTGCGATCAGAGGAATACCCAACGTGCGCCAAGTCACAGAACATCACGAGTGTCTATTCGTTCTTTCATCTTCTTTTTTTAAAAAACGAAGTGCTTACAGGTAAGGGCTGTTTTTATTACTATAATTTCATATTTTGTGTTCGGATATTTGGCTTTCGTTTTCCACTGAACGGAGTAATAAATGGTAAGAGTAGGTTCGTCGTGCTCGTCATGAGGTACTGGGGGTTGGGGGGGGGGGGGGGGGGGGAGACTACTGAATCTGATTTGAATAATAAAGGGGCGAAGGAGTGTGAAATCATCTGACTACGTTCGGTTAGTTTTTGCGCTTTAGTAAGTTGACGTTTGGCTATAGTGTACCCTCCCCCCACCCCAATCCCTTCCAAAATTTCGCTGCTCGTGACCATTTGATGAGCATGCATGTGCCTCCTGTGCCTGGGTTCAATGACATAAGTACATGACACAACTGGTTTCCACATGTTTGAAGTTATAGTACGCCCTGCAAGCATGACAGATCACAAGGGAACGTGTAGCTAAAAACACAACGAAAAACAACTACAATGAGTTCGATAATCGTTAACCTGTTTGATTCAGAACGACCTCCTGTTACAGGTTCACATGCTTGTGACTGTCTTGTGGAAAGAAAGTTCCGTAACCTCGCAAAAAGTAAACAGGGGGCATGTGACGGCCAGATGATCAAAATGTAACGCAGACAGGCATATAATATTATTATAATGCTCAAGTTATACCTTTGTCTGATATGCAAAGTGATGAAATTCGAACCGCTTCTGTGAAGTGGTGCTAGCAACACAGAAACCACATGTTGCATAGGTC